ATGAATAATTATACAGCCTTTTAGCTTTATAACATCTCATATAATTGAATGTAATTATCAAAAAAACATTTGAGCTTTCTCTCAAAGATTTTAGGACTTTTTCATATGGTACAATAGATTTATATTGAGCTTACTTTTTTGAGCTTTCTCTCAAAGATTTTAGGACTTTTTCATATGGTACAATAGATTTATATTGAGCTTACTTTTTTTTTATTACTAATAAGCACACCTAGGACTTTTTCATATGGTACAATAGATTTATATTGAGCTTACTTTTTTTTTATTACTAATAAGCACACCCTCCTAATTAGGATATGAAGATCAGGTCGCGAAGAGGAATATAGCTTTTTCTGTATAATTTAGTAAATATTTGCTCAATTTTCCACACAATTGACTATCTCCACTTCTTGAACTTTAAGTAATATTTCAATAAGTTCAATTAATAGGACTACCGAATCGAACATTAATGAACTTTCGAACATACATTTGGTTAAATTCTATTAAAAATTTATCGAAGCGAATAGTTAATGAACTACCGAATCAAACATACATTTGGTTAAATTCTATTCATTTTAAACCAAACACTAAAAATTATTTGTTTAGTACAAAATGAACTATTGAATCACACTTGATCGAATATCTGAACGAATAAAAAAAAAACAAATAGCACCCATATACTTCATATCTAAAACAGAATACTTTATTTTGGTAACATGTTCAATATTTGAAAAAAATCTTTTAGAAACCGTGCTTTGCACGGGTCTAAATACTAGTTAAGATATAATAGGTTAGCATTAATTGATTATAATGTATAAACATTTATCTCTAATGTTGATAATATTTATTTATAAAGTAAAAAATACAATGAGTTATGTATGGAGAAACTATCAGAAAGTTCAGAGAGATCCTTTAAAAGAACTAAGTTGTCTTCATTTCAAGTGGAGAAGTAAAGGAAATAAACTCAAAATTCAGAAACATTCATGAATCACCTGAATTAACATTGATAAAAAGCATATCGAGCAAAGAAGCACTAACCGAGTTCTTCTTGAAGAACATACCGAACAATCATATCCTAATTAAAAAAACATTATTCATAAAAAGTATAAGAAAAATTAGTAAGTACTTATAAATTTTCATACTTTATTCTAAAAATACTAAAGGAATCATAAACTTAATATAAAATTTTATATAAATAATCTTGCAATAGAAACTAAAGTGAAGCCATTGATCAACTACATTGTGAGATATAATAAACTAGATAAGATGAGAAAATCACTATAATGGACAAAAAAATATGCACATGATACTTAGTTACCATAGTGTAAGTAAAAAAAATTAAAATTGATTTTTTTCCCTCTATATAGTGGCACGACTCTGTAAGTATCCTTATTTGGGGATATGACTACCAACGAAAGATCAATATTTAAGAACACGATCAAAGATAAGCATGTAATGGTACTATGAGATTTTAAAATCTTTAAATATGAAGGTTACATATTTTACAACTAAAATTCTTATTAAAGGCCCCACTAAATATAAAATTCATTTTATACCTGTCTCAAATTTGTATGAAAGATATGCATGTCATCATAAATTATGTTAATAATATATCAACTTATTGAAGAAATAAGAGATAGATAAGCAAACCAAGCAGACATCCATATAACATGATAAAAAAATATTATACTTTAAAACTAATATGCATGGCTCATTTAGAACAAGCTGCTAAAACAAAAGCATCTTCATTAATGCTTTTTATAAACACAACACAAATTTAAATTACTTAATATTTTTAAAAATACCTTAATTTTTTGAGTAAAATCGGGAATCTTTAGAAGTGATTTTCATAAACTTTTTTAATTTTTTTATATGGTTATGTGGATGCTTTTATCATATAAAAGTGTAATAGAGTTAGCATTAATCTTTATTTTATAATTTTTTTTCTAAAGTCTATCACTGATTAGCAACAAATTTTATATTCTCTTTAGTTTTATTCTAGCCCACTTTTAATTAATCATATTGTCTTATTGGCTTTAATTATTCATCATTCTTTTATAACATTATCTTTTCAAGTGTTTTTCACTTTTACAACATTATACTTTCTTAAGTCAAGCTTGGTTTCATGCCGATCTAAATAACGCAAAAATTTAAATTAGCTTTAGATTATAGTTATTTCTTATCAATTCAATTATTACATGAAAATTTTAAATTTGGTGTAGAACATTCAAACAAACATTAAAAAAAATAATCAAAATAATAAAGTTTGAAAACATTAGTGAGAAAAACAAATCAAAGTGGAACTGAGAAACAAATTTTAGTAAAGAAATAATTTCTCCCTTTTTGGTTTTCTAGAATGTTCTATACCATATTCCATGCACATAGGATATGAGCCCATATAGTTACATATCCATTATATTTTAGATTCTAAAAATATAAATTAAAATTATGAGATCGTTTTAGCAAAAAAAAAAGTATAGCAAAAGAAAAGCCAAAGAATATAAAAGTATAAATTAAATATTTTTTTTGGGAAATTATAAGTTGCGTGCATTCAGTGGCGGACCCACCCTTGTTCAAAGTGGTTCACTTGAACCACCTCATACAAAAGTTCTCTATAGCCTAGTGGTATTGCAGTTGGTAACATTTTGTAAGAGGTCTGGAGTTCAAACCATCCAGCCTTCGAAAATTTCTCTTTTAGGCTTCTTTCCTTTTACCTCCCCTCTATTCTTCTTCTTCTTCTTCTTTTCCTTTCATTTTATCCATTTGTTCTGTCTACCTCTTTAAGGCCTTCTATAAATATTTTTGTTTCTTATATATATAAGTCAAATCATTGTTTAAAAATGATTGTTTTTCTCTTTAATAACCCTTCCTTCATTTTTTTCCCACCTGCTATTATTTGAGAAAAAAATTTAGTGTATATTTTGAACCACCACAAAAAATGTTGTAGATCCGCCACTGGTACACATGACCATAAGTGCCATATTTGACAAACTTCAATAGCCAGCTGCCGATAACAAAGTTATAATAAGCATTACTACATTTGTTTCCTTCCTACGGGGCGTGGATTAAAGGTGAGCGATGAGCAGTTTACCCGCATGATTCCAGGTTGATCTCCATTAAAGTAATAAGAAAATTATTTAAGCTTCAATAATATCAAATTGAGTTCAATTTTATTTCATATTACAAAGTAACTAATATTTTTCCATGTTTTATTTTTTGATCATTTTAATTATTGCTTATTATTATAAGACTAAGTTCAATTCTAGCTTTAGCAGTTTGAGTTCAATTTAGCTTCTCTTTACCATGCACAGAGACTTTGCAGGCAATCTTTACATATTACCATTGATTCTACTTGCAATCATTCATCCACTCACAAGTTAAAAAGTTCACAATTAAACAACATATTTATTTTTTCCTAATAAAAAGTGTGAACTCTAATTTTTCACTAGCAAAAATATCCTCTGCATAATTACTCACCTATGTCAAAATTGTGATAAACACCATGTAGAGGGATTTCGTTATAAATTCTTAAAGCCAATGAAGTTTCTGATAATCCCAAACAAAAGGTTGTTTTTTTTTTTTTTTTTTTTGATAAACAAAGGTTTTTTTTTTTTTTTTTTTTTTTGATATTTTGAAAGTCATGGATAGTTACCTGATAATTCAGCCTAGAAATAATTTAAATTATCCGATCAATACATATTCTCAAAAATAGATTCAAATATTTTACGTACATGCACAACTTATCAAGGTTAAAAGTGATATCCACATCCCATTAAATGAATAATTGTTATAAATATTTAAGATATATACGGATAACTAGGGTTGGGCATGGGCCGAGTCGACCCGCGGGCTAACCCGACCCACCCTGGCATGGGTCATGACCCGACCTGGCCTGCAGTGGGCCGGGTCCCACTCGACCCGTGATATACGTGGGTCATGGCTGGGCTGAGTCCAGCTCCAGACCCGGGATGAGAGAAATCGATTCGACCCACCTTGGCCCAGCCTACCACCGACCCGACCCGACCCATAACTACCCTGTTCTATCTATGGTGGCTAGAGATATATTAACTCCTACTGCTTCCACGATCACATCAGAAAGTGTCTTTTCATCAGGCGAGAGAATCCTTTCTGAATGGAGAACATAACTTACAGCAGCACAGATGCGTGTGTTCTTAAAGGACTGGCTCGATGTATAAGAACGATCACAAGGACAACAAACAAGACCTTTCCTTGAAGAATTTGACAAATATAGCTTGGTGGAATTCGGTTCCTTGAATATTAATGGTTAAACATTTTTTTTTCTTTTTTCCTCTTATAGTTGTAATTTAAATTTAAAGTAAAGAAAAATTATTAATTTTCCGTAGACGTAGGTCTTCTATCAAAGTACGAACCATATATATCTTTGTGTTTGTGATGTTTTATCTTTGTACAATGTGTGTCAGTGTGTGTGAATGTATATATTATTTTATATAAAAAGTAAAATAAAAAATAATTTAAATTTTATTTGATAGGTAGAAATATAAATTTAATATAGTTTATAAATTAAAAATAAAAAAGTTAAAAACCCACGGGTTGTGGGCCGGACCGAGCCCGACTAGGCCCGTTCCTACACGGGTCGTGGGTCGGGCCGAGTCCAATCCCAGATCTGGGATTAGAAAAATAAGCTCGACCCACTTTGACTCAGGCGAGCCTGGGTCGGACCCGACGCAGCCTTGAATCCGATGGGCCCGATCGTGAGCCTAAACAGGCCCGACCCACGCCCATCCCCACTTATAACCATAGCGCATGTGTGTATGGCCCCACGTGGGCCCCGATTTAGAATGCCCATGCACATCAACCTGTATGCTGTTCCATGCCAAACACTGGCTGAAAAGCCAAAGAAATTCCTTACCAAAAAAAGCCAATATATGCTCTCCTGCCCAGCTAATAAATGCCTTAAAAACAAAATTCTGACGTACACTCCACATTTTAAACCCCTTCAACCGAAGAAAATAACCCTTGTACGCATCCTATAAACAAGTATCTCATGCCTGCCCCCACTCTCCTCTTTATATAACCGCCACCTCGAAACCCTCAAAACCCACCAAAAATTTTCAAAAATGGCAGCTTTAATGAGATCTCTCTCGACCCTCATCCTCCTCTCGCTCCCCATTCTCCTCTCCCTTCAAGTCCAAGCCTCTGCCCCCGGCCTGATCCGCGTCGGGCTGAAGAAGAAGCAGCTCACTCGATCGATCCAGCCCCTGAGTCCGAAGAAATACGGACTGGGGTCGGGTTTTGAGAATGTGGGTTCTGATGAGGACATCATCTCGCTGAAGAACTACATGAACGCGCAGTACTTTGGGGAGATCGGGGTCGGGTCGCCGCCGCAGCTGTTTACTGTGATTTTTGATACTGGAAGCTCGAATCTTTGGGTTCCGTCGTCGAAGTGCTACTTCTCGGTGAGTGCATTGTTGGGTTAGGGTTAGGGTTAGGGTTTTGGTTGGTGCTTGATTGGGTTTCTGTTGTCTTGATTGCAGCTTGCTTGTTATTTGCATTCGAAGTATAGTTCGAGCAAATCGAGCACGTATAAGGAGAACGGTTCGTCTTTTCGATTTGGGCTATTATTATTATTATGATGTTGGATTCTAGGGTTTGGAGGTTAAATTAGGATTTTTGATCTGAATTTGATTTTTTTGCTTGCTTGGTTACTGGTGAGTGATATTCAGCTATGATTGTGTTACTTTTTAAAATTGCTAAACTTGCTACAGTTAAGGTTAAAGATATTAAGGATTGTAATTTTGCAATTAGTACATTTTGGTGAAGGTGAAAAGGTGGATTAAACCCAAAAATGATTTTATACCCTTAGGTCCCGTTTGGCAAAGGGTTAAGGAAGTGGGGTTAAAGAAAAGGGTTAATATACTTAGTCCATTCGATAATCTGAAGGACTAAATTATTAACCCGTTAAATAAGTTTTATTTTAGCCACTGTCCTCAGTTTTAGTGTTTGGGAATAACAATGATTTTGACTATTTTTTTATAATTAGAAGGATTACCTCTTAATCCTTCTAAAAAGGAGTATTAGTAAACCCGTCATTTTGAAAGGTTAACTCATTTTAATCCCTCTAGAGGGGTTAGCTTAACCCTTCTATATTTTTTATGTTTGACAATTTATGGAGGGTTAACTCACTTTAACCCTTGTATAGATTTTTTGTGTTTGGCGGGTTAAGAAGGCGTTAAGTCTTCTTAACCCCTCACTTAACCCTTTACCAAAAAGTACCTTAAAGATTAATATCATTTTTTTAATAGTGGATAACTTTCAACCGTCATAATCAGGAAATTCTTTCAAATAGCAACATAGTATTGGATAGTGGTCCCGCTTACCAGTCATATCAATAAGTTTTAAGAATCAATATAGTGGGTTTTTCCCCCATGGTTGTTAGATATGCTAAAATTAAGGTTAGGTATTAAGGCTCAAATTTTTTGTGCAATTACTTCAGTTTGGTAAAGACGTAAAGGTGGGTATAAAGCCAAAAGTGACCTTATGCCAATGAAAGACAGATGACAGAATCCTTTAATTCTTGATAATTTTTGAACTGATGCGTTATAATCAAGAGATTCCTTGAAGAGTAACATGGTATTGAATGGTGGTCCCACTTATGATGGAGTCAGATCAATAAGTTTTGAGGAGAAGTATGGTTTTTGTGGAGTCAAAATTAGTACGAAATGTCGTTTTGATTTTTAAATTATAAGCTATACACAAAGATTTTTTTTCTTCCACTTTCACATCATAAGTTATATAAATTATATCTTTCACATCATAAGTTATATAAATTATATCAATAAGAAAGACTTATTATAGCATATAGTAACTTAATTTTCCACTTTGACGATGGTCTTTATGCAATTCTCCATTTCAAGTACCATGGTTCTTGTTGCAAGGGAAGCATAGGTACTTAAAGTGAATGCCTTCATTAATTAGTAGTTAAAAAAAATTGCCACAAATATTTTTGATTATTTCATCGGATAGAGTTAAATAATAAATCTGTTTACATTACTGGATTGGGTGTAGGTTTGAACTCCTATCGATATACTAAGTTGAACAAATAGACAGAATGTTTTTCTGGGGAAAGGTTTGATCTCAGCGCAAAAGAAGAAAATCTTTGAAGGAAAAAAAGTTAAAAATTTACATCTTAGAGTCTTAAGATCCAGTCATCTTATACTACATATTAAAATCCAAATTATGAATTTGTGGTTCTAAAAAATGCTAACTTGTTTGGTATGTAACGTTTAGATGCTTCCAATATGTTACCTGGGTACTTCTATCTAAAGCCGTACCCGTCCTAACACATACCTGTAACTGTACACGCACCCAAACTTCTTGGACACTTCTTGAATATATGCATGCGTTTATTTGGGAGCGTACTCAATTACATAGTACATGTTTTAATTTAAAGCACTCACCATAAACTTTTTGGATGTATATTCTATACTTCACATTTACTTCTTGAAAATCGTTGAACGCTGGTCAAGTTTGTTTGAACCTATACCTAGTTAAGAACTATGATCTTAATGGGCCATTTGGGTATCTTGTTCAAAAATGAGCTGTTTTCCAATTTATAATCTACATAAATAAAAACATAAAAATGTTCTAGGAACTTTAATTCTCGTAACATGTGATGCGTATTGATCTCATGTAAATTAATAAAGTATTAAATTTTAATAAACATGTATATACTATATACATATACATAGATCTTTTATAAATATGCCATGTCTTGTACCATTACCAGTACCCACCCGTAACCGCTTTTATGTAACTTAGGTTCCAACATAATCTATGTAGCTTTTCAAAGCTTCTACTAATCTGTATACAGTTAACTTTAAATCCAAATAAGCCAAAATAAGACCTTTTTGCTTTGGTTTTGTCCTAGGAGTTGGTATTCAAGGTTATATTTACTACATTTCTTATCTGGAAATGGTTTATACTCCTTAGAAATGAGATCAGAAGAAACCAAAAATAGGAGTTTATGGCACTACTTACAGGGACATGAAAAACCTTGTGACTAATCTCCCTACTCTGAGAGACAAGGATACCCTAGAATAGGTCATCATTTTTTCGGTGTAATAAGGGTTTACTTATTTGTGTGAACAAATTCTTTGTAAACACTATCAATAGACATAACGATTATACAGTTTCATGTTGCTCTCCAAATTATTCAATTAAAGTGACTCTACAAATATTAAATAGTCTTTATGTAGGCTGTCAAAAAATTACTGCAGATAGTTGATCCTCACAAAGCGCTGATAATAAAAGTTATAATCTGACGATTTTCACGACAACAGACGAGAGTTACAATTTGACGACTCCTATACTTTAAAAAACCAAATGCAAAGATTACAAAATGACGATCTTTACAGAACTTAAAAAAGAGATTATAATTAACGATCTCTTCAAAGCAAAATGCGAGGGTCCACCCCTGCGTTCCAGCTCTAAAACGCGAGGGTCTACCCCCACGTTCCAACTCCAAAACACGAGGATCCACCCTCGCGTTCCAACTCCAAAACACGAGGGTCACCTCTGCGTTCTCATTACAAAACGCGAAGCTCACCCTCGCGTTTCATAGGCTAAATGTGAGGGTCGCTCTAGAACGCGATTCTCTCGTTTGACTGTTTTAATTGCAATTTGAACGGTTCAAAACCGTTTTTCACTTAATGGGGTGATTAAGCTCCAATTATGAAACAAATTAAGGGATCAGTTACACCCCTTAAACCCTATAAATACCTGGTTTTACAGCTAAAAAAAGGGCTACAAGTTTGAGGGGTTGGAATTGGCTCTTGAATTCTATATTGAATTTTAAAGATCAAGAGATCAATTCTTTTTGGCTTAAGGGATTAATCTCCTTTGTCGAAATTAACTCTTTTTAAGAGTTCCTAACTCGGCCAGAGTTCAACTTTTTTTAAAGTTCCTAACTTGGCTAGAGTTCAAAACTTGTTTAACAAGTTCTTCCTGACGTAAAGACAGAAGCGAAGTGTTCGGATCGTCAATGGGATATAAGACTCAAACTCCCACCGCCACTAAGAAGAACTCAGTATTAAACAAATGGAAGGATCTTCGTCGATTATTCTCTCTTTTGTAAATCGGGAAAACCGATAAGAAAATTGCAATTTCTTTTTCTAAGTCAGTTAAAGAGAGATTACTTTGAGAGATTGTATTCATTATTTTCCTAAGTCAGTTAGGGAGATTAATACTAATTGATTTCTTAATTTTCTTGCAATTTTTCCCACAAACACCTTACACAACACATAAATTCATCTGACACCCTTCAATCGTAGTGGATCAGCATTTGCTAGTTTACTTAAAAGTTAGATATAAAACTTTTTGTTATGTCTGTTAAAAATCTGTTTTTTGGAGACCGAATGCACTGTGATGGAAACATTTTACGTCAGAGTTGACAAATGAGATGGCAATCTATCTAGTTTGTGATGAAACACTGAACTTTATGTACTACAGTTAGCATTTTGGTAGTTACTACCAAATGCCCCTGTCACCACACCAAAAACACTGAACTTTATGTAGTACAGTTAGCATTTTTATAGTTACTATCAAATACCCCTGCCACCACACCAAAACGCCGAATTTGTGGAAAGGGTGTGAATATAATTTTATACTCTAACATGCTCCCTGAGATTGGAGGCTCTTTTATGGGCTAAATCAAACCTTGGTTGCTATGATACTATGTTAAAAGTCTTTGCCCCTGCACTACTGTGTCTAGTGTCAGTTGTTGCATGCAAAAGCTCTAAGCTGGCAACAAATTTGGGATACTATGCTAGGTTTATTAGTAAAAATGTTGTTGGATTGTCCTTGATCGTCAAGCATCCGAGTGTCTGACACATAAAAAAATCTACAGTTTGAGCCATCATGATAACTATAAAAAGAATGCTCAGTTAAACCTGTCCTCTGAAAAGAAATCATAATTGAGAAATATAAGAATATGGAAAGGATTGCCTATGCATCAAGTACTCAATTTTTTAACTGGACTACTTTTGCAAGAAACTTTTAGATTTTTAGTTTGATAGGAGGTCAGCATTGATTAAGTTGGTCACTGTTGATTGGAGGAGAGGGAGAATCTTCCTCGGAAGGAAAACTATTCAGATGAATTCTCTGAATAAGGTTCAAAATGACTATCTTATTCTGAACTTATTCTGAATAAGGTTCAGAATAAGATAGTTATTTTGTGTTTGGTCGAAGAAGCATGTTATAAGAAAAAACTCACATCCAAAATCTGGAGGTGCGGATAACTGGGTCTAGAATGATCACTTGATGGATTTTGACTAAATGGTATGTCAAGGTTATAGGTTATAACAGCTTCGGTCAAAGTATTTTGATGCATAGGTTTCAGTTCTAGGTCAGTTTTGAGCATATGTAATCTCTGCACAACTCCATTTCGCTCAGGTTGTATGATCATGAGTTTTTGGGAAGAGAGTCGTAAAGAGAAAAAAAAATCCTTTTGTCAGAAGAAACATATTTCAAGTTATTTCAAATAAGAAAATTTATGTTTTTGTTGATTATTGTTTGCATCATATTGTTTATCCTAAAAATATGAACAACTTCAGATTGCCGTCACATTATATTCAGATATATTTGGAATAATAATTGATATGTAACACATGAATCTGATTGATATATCTCGACTAGAATTTTGATCTCTTGATTCAAAAATGCACTCCTGGGTATGAGTGGTTTGTTCATTGAGATTCTTAAGATGAAGCCATATGACAAGGGAAGGAAGTTCCTAAGTCCTAACTGCATTTGGATATCATCCTCTACCTATTGGGAGACAATGATCAAGATCATGTTCTGCTTCATCACATTAGCAACTTCCTTTGCATCTGAAAAATCTGATGATTATATAATTCGTGCTGTCTCATGATTGAAGAGATCAAGAACAACAAACATTATGTGGAGATTACTTCACCATTCTCTAGATTTTCTTCCATATTCTGATTTGTCGCATCGATTTCAGTCAAATGAGAAAAAAAGAAATTAGAGAAGCTTGTTTGCTTAAGAGAATAAGAGGACATATTCACACATAAATAAACCCAAATATCAAGTACTGATAGACATGAAGAACTTCCAAAGCGCTAAACTTTTAGAGCTTGAAAAATCTGAACTTGCGGAGTTGAGACTTCAGATTTGAGAGGCAACCCTCAATCTTCCTGGCTCAAATCTGAGCTGATAACTGAGCTTCAATCCAAGAACAAGGAAAGAAGTCTAGAACCTTTGCTCTAATAATTTTGGCGAAACAAAAGTGTTGACATTTTATGAGGCTTGAAGGTTCCTTAAGTAGCTAACTCCAGATGTCAAGACTATATAGTTTTAGACTGCTATATAGACTATAAACCTATAGTTCACTAAGATATAAGTTATCCTTATGTACACCAAGAAGGCAAACTAAGTTGGTGAGATGGATATGACAAAGGGTCAAAAGGAGGGATTTTTCAGGTTCAAGGAAATGGGTATCAAAAGAAGGAATGTCCTCTCTATAAGGGGTGAGAGCTGGACCTTTATTGCGTCTAAAGAAAGTAAGGTAAGGGGTGTCATGGATGTTATATAAGGATGTTTCTAATATTCATGCCGTAGATTTTAGAGGCTACAAAACCAAAACTTTTTTAATAATAACAACATTTGGACTCTTTCCGTCTCCTTTTCATGTTGTTGGACTAGTGTTATGTTTTTTAACACTGACCTTTGTTTTCTACCTGATATCTTCTTCCAATGGATTCTTATCCCCGTGAACCAAACATTTTATTTACTATTTCTATGTTTTCTAGTGACAAATGATACTTTCAAAAACCTGTTTGTGGTTTAGTTGTAAAGTTTCTTTTTGCATCGTCTTGTTTGAACAGGTAAATCTGCTGCAATCCAATATGGAACTGGAGCAATCTCAGGTTTCCTTAGTCAGGATCATGTTAAAGTTGGTGATCTGGTTGTCAAGGATCAGGTTTGGGACTTAAGAAGAATGTTTTTTTTTCGTTATATATAATTCCTTTGAGTTTGTTACTCATATAGGATTATCTTTTCAGGTTTTCATTGAAGCCACAAGGGAGCCAGGTCTCACTTTCTTGATGGCAAAATTCGATGGCATTCTCGGTCTTGGATTCAAAGAAATATCTGTTGATGATGTGGTGCCTGTTTGGTATAATCTTTATCTTGATTATGGATAATTCTTATAACTACTGTGTGCCCGTTTTCCTTTGTGCAGTAGCATGCTCAATTTGATTAAAAATAAATGCCAATGGATCAAACAGCAGAGGCAATTGTTCAAACAAACAAACAAACTAAATCATACACAAACTCACACACACACAAGGTAGTTATCTAGTGATAAAAAAGTATCCATACCGTGGGCATACAAGATTAATCCATAAAAATTTCTATCAGATGGCAGTTTAATAATGATTTAAGCAACATATTTAAGAGACGCAAAAGGGAATGAACTTTTTCTTGAAAAGTACTAATCATGTAAAGTAAACAAAATGACAACTACGAGTGAAGACTGTCTCATCAGCATGTAAAAGACCGGTTCTGGAAAAACTTTCAGTTAGGCAGCTGCAGCTTGACACAGATTTAAGATTTCAGGCCCTAACTGAAGGCGAAAGTTTTCGTCCGTGTCAAAACGTGCAATGTTGAAAAGGATGGGAAACAATTCAATGTATTAAAAAAACAACAACTAATGAAATGCATGAACATTGAGAGGCCAATCAGAGATAAAAAAAAATAAATATGTCACATATATGGACAGTTTTAACATATCAATAACGATATCAACTATAATACATAAGAGGCAAATGCAATCTTAACCTGCACAATTTATTCCATCTTTGAATCACGATCTTTATGAAATTCCATTTAGGTCAAATTAGTTGAGGCACTAGGCTCTAGAATTGTGGAGAGTAGATATATTCTTATCCTGTTATGATGAAAAACCTCAAATAGTTGTAGTTTTTACTAATTTTTTTTCATTTATGAAGAATGTCTATGTTGTCAGAGTTTGTACATGGTCAAATTTAGGAAGTCTCTCAACTATCCTAGATGTAGTAATTCTGAAATTGAGAACTTTTTTATGAGTACCATGTAGTATAAGAAGATAAAAATATACCGTAGCTGTCACCAGTTCATGCAACTTATGAGAGTCCATCAAGAAGCTTAAGAGTGAAGATTTTTCGAGTTTAATAAATAGATATATGACTATCAAATAGAACTTCTAGGCCAGATTTGTATCCAAACAGAAGCCTTTGCATACTGCACCTAAGATAAAGTTTCAGATTTAGCTATATATTGTATTGTTTGGTGTAAAAGGATTGTCACGATTGCCATTTGAAACAGGTATAACATGGTTGGCCAAAAACTCATTCGGGATCCTGTTTTCTCCTTCTGGTTGAACCGGAAAAATGGAGAAGTACAGGGAGGTGAACTAGTATTTGGCGGGTCTGACCCAAATCATTTTAAGGGCGAGCGCACATATGTTCCTGTAACTCAGAAAGGTTACTGGCAGGTAATTACTAGGACATCTTTTTCTGATGGCACATGATCTTATTTCTCTCTCATTAACCGCTTATGTCTGATATCTTTACAGTTCAATATGGGAGAGGTGCTAATAGCAGGAAAGAAGACTGGTAAATATTGCAACTCTCCAATATGTATCCCTGAAGTACTAGTAATCATGCAGGTGCAAGTAATGCTTCTGCTAGATATCCTGACTATAAAGATTGTAATTTTCAGGATTCTGTTCTGGAGGTTGTGCAGCGATTGCTGATTCTGGAACTTCATTGATTGCTGGCCCAACAGTATGTATAAAAACCAGACCTTCATTCATTTATGACACCTACACTTCTTCTTTTTTCCCCTCAATTTTACACCAGCGCTTCTTGCAAGAATTAATACCGACTTCCACTTTTTTTGCTCTTTACTTTTTACTCTATACTTTACCATTAGCTTTTATTTTGTTTCTACACTATTGCATGGTTTGTTTTACTTGGTTGTTTGCATTCAACTTGTCAGCCTACTGGCCCTTCTAGTTTGCAGGCCATCTTGTTATGTTGGCTCGTCTTGCAGCATCCACACTTTGAACTTCACTACACTGGCTGCTGTAGTTTTATTTTCCTTCGTTGCCACTGAAAACTTGCATTTCTATAATGACATTTGTTCTAGGCATATATGGGAAGAATCCCTAGTTAATAGGCATGAACCCACAATGGTTCAAATTAAGAAATCCCTATTGGAGTCGTGGATTCAAACTTATTAGCCGATTTATATCTTTCGTGGAGCCTGATGTGGGCCTATGCCCACTGGAATACTCAATTAGATGCGAGATTTGATTTAGCAACGTTTCCACACCAAATTGCTTGTTTTAGCAACATTTCTGCACCAAATCATGACAGTTGTTTATATATATATATAATTTAAAGTCAAATTTTGTTTGTGACAAATACCTGTCCAAGGAATTATAGTTCAAGAACTGTTGGGTCGGAAATCTGAAATCTGCTATTAATTTTCTTTCCATGCTCATGAAATCAAGAAGAGACCTTTAAAAATTCCTGGAGGAAGCAAGAGTTTAGGGGACAGACAATCAATTTGCTATAGGGAATAATATTCAAATAATACTCTTTATTCAACGTGTAATGTTTAGAACATGTAGCGCCAGCATGTTGTGTTGCTGCTGATTTTAGGTTACTGTTAGCAAAATTAACCTCCATACTCTCAGAGTTATAGTAGGAAGGATGTAATGGAAAAATTGTCCCATAGTTCAGCCTACATCATCCATGATAAAAAAACTAATTAACCAAAGAAAGACTGTTTTACCCCAAATAAAATCCTATTAACAATTTTATACACCACAGCTCCACAGCTCCAGAATTCAGGTTACACTCCTTACGCATTGCTGATAAATCTGCCTCATCGATCCATTCCTGGCTCTCAGTGGTTGACACCTTGTGATTTGCTGCTGCTTCTCTACAGATTATTTTTGAGCACTTTATTTTGTGTAAACAATGATCCTTTAAACCATGCTGAGCAACTCGTTGTTAGGGCCTAACCAAAATAGAATCTTAGCATCTCGGAACTGATTAAATCTCAACTCGTTAGTTCTGCGCCATGTTATCTTTCTTAAATTTAGTATATGACAAGATTTAATTACAGTTTCCATTTACAGTTTCTTTCCCCAAAGGTGACTTCCCTATGGAATGCTAGCATGTTAGTTATATGACGGCTAAAAAAGCCTTCAGGGGTGATGTCTTTTATAATTTTGCCAAGTATTTTCTTCCACTTTCTTCATTAGGTAATGTGGTTAATATAGGAGCTTGTTGTGAACCATAAAGGTCAGCTCATGTTTACTGAAACTACCTTCTTGTCCATATAGTTGAGCTATAAAACCTCCAAGTCTCCCTAGATGGAAACATAAAGGCTAAGGTGGAAATTAAGCTTTTATTAATATTGAGGGCTGCAATAATTTGTTAGCTATAGGCTATAACATATTCAGATGTCAAAAAATTCCCTGCTGATCAAACTCCATTTGAACCATGTTCTGGATCCGCCCGTTTCCTTTATATTTTACTGTTACCTAATTGAGTCAGGTATAGAAAAGGAAGATAAGAAACTGTTTTCCACAAATAGATAATTCGTTATGAAAAAGAGAAAAATTGTTGGAAATGGATGATATGTATGTCATATGTACTAAATAGTATTTTATCTACCATATCGAAATTGGATTTCACCAGACTTATATTACAAAATAATCACAAAAAACCATTTTTGTAGTAATTGTTATGCTAAATTTTGTTCAATTTTAAAGGGCTTGCTTTCTAAGTGCAGAAAATGTAGACCTCCTTGTTTGTTGAATACTGCATGGCTATTATGTGATCATGTCTGAATTATGTATATAAGTGCATGAAGAATCTTGTTGTAAGAAAAAGAAACAGATCAATTTTCTCAATGCCATCTTATCTTGTAAGCACGGTTTCTTACTATTCAGTTCTTTTGAGACGTAATTTTACCTGATATGTCAGATTCTGTTGACATGGCTAGTATTTTAGTGTTTTGATAGTTCACCATCTCTTGTACAGCCTGTCATAACAGAAATCAATCAAAAAATTGGAGCTTCTGGTGTTGTTAGCCAAGAGTGCAAGTCTGTAATTGAACAATACGGAGAAAAGATTCTTACCATGTTGGTGGAAAAGGTCAGGAACCCTTGTGGTCTTGCTCTGTATATTTTCCTACTTTATCTTCTAGATATCCTTAGGCATGCTAAATGTACTTTTATTGATTCTATGTTTATTTTGTAGGAACAACCAGAAAAGGTTTGTTCCAAGATTGGTCTTTGTGCTTTCGATGGAACTCGAGGAGTTAGGTTAGACTTTTTCTTTCTTGTTGTAAACATTAATATTAATATTGTATCCCGAAATTTACCTCACATATATTTTAGCTATCATGTTTTGCAAGTAACTGTTTATATTCTTATGTTTCACTGTGCACACAGTATTGACATTTGAGAGCTCCGTTAAATGACAAATGGAGAGAAATCACCTATTGGCCAGAGCGGCGCTATGTGCTCATCTTGTGAAATGGGAGTTATATGGATCCAGAATCAGCTTGTCCAGAACAAAACACAGAATGTTATACTTAACTATGCAAATGAGGTATAAGTTACTTGCAGATGTTTGCAGTAACAAATCATGCAGATTTATCCTTTCTCATGTTTTCTATTGCAATTGTAGCTATGCGAGAAATTGCCTAGTGCCATGGGAGAATCAGGTATTGACTGCAATAATCTTTCGAGGATGCCGACTGTTTCTTTCACTATTGGTGGCAGAACATTTGACCTGACACCAGAGCAGGTGAACTTCACTGAAACCTCTATCTTTCCACTTCTAGTGTACACATCACTTTCTAGCATTCTCTAGATACAATTTAGAACTTGCTGCATAGTTTTTCAAGAATAGCAAATAGGTAATTGTGGCATACGGTGTTGACAAATAACATAGCAAGCACACATATGAACTTTCAACTTTATATAATTTCATAATTTCTTGTTTCTCCTGTAGCAGTGCCGCCAAATTCTATTTAGTATATATGTCTGTCAGCTACAAGTGCATAATTGCTGTGCTTATTCCCTAAAACCTCTCTCAATCATGGTAATTACCTTTGGCTTTTACTTGGTGTAATAGGGAAATTGCAAATCATGCTTACACACCGAGCATAATTTACATAAATAAGATGTCGAAGACCGGAATAAGAATAGGGAAGCAAGAAATCAGTAAGTAAATGACTGTAGGGTAGAGTATGAAGAGGAGGAAGAGAGATGGGTGTAATGGAACAGAGTAGACGAGGAGAATAGAAAAGTGGAGTAAGAGAAAGCGAAAGAAGCAGAGGGAGGAAGGAGGGAGGGAGGACATATATACTAAGTTACCGCTGTTCATCGTTTTCATCCATACATCTCTTTTGTTCACGTATCCATAAGAATGCCCAGTTATACCCAAACCTAACACGACAATATCTCCTACTCCCTGAGTAAACATCTGATTGAATAAAACATTATTCTATAAAACTGATAGTACTCTTAACTTACTCAATTCATGCTACCAGAATCAATAAAAAGTTTATCCCGGTCTTCATTCTCCTATACTAGAATGATTCTTTACACGGAGATCCAAACCTAAAAGTGCTTGCAAGAAATGAAAATATGAGGATGTACGTATAACATTCATCTTCGATGGGGAAATAAAAAAGATATCCTCGTTTCACTTCTCATTAATTTTCTATTTCTTGGTCTTTGATCATCGTGCACAGTATGTCCTTAAAATCGGAGTTGGGGGTGAATCACAATGCATGAGTGGATTCACGGCCTTGGATGTTCCGCCTCCACGTGGTCCTCTCTGGTATGGAAATTGATTTTGCTAGAATTTTCTCTCATATTGCTTGGATATAGTAGATAAGATTATAATACGTTTTGGAGTTTTTACAGGATATTAGGCGATGTCTTCATGGGAGTTTATCACACTGAGTTCGACTATGGAAAGCTGAGAGTTGGATTTGCGAAGGCAGCTTAGATGGTAATCTTTCCATTGGTGTTGTACTAAAACTTTGGTTCGTCTATATATATATAGTGTCCATATGTTATTATATAAATATTTTGGATGGACCAAGACATATTATGTTATCTGGTTTTTCTTATAAGACCAATTTATGTTAGTGCCTTCATGTGTTTAATGCAAATGCAGCCTACTGTGTGTGTGTGTGTCCAGTAGGAATTCTTGTCAAGAGTGAGAAAGCTGCTAACATCACGAGTCATGATGTTCTATGAAAATAACTTAACTTGGTATTTGCAAATGTAGCCTACTGTGTGTGTGTCCAGTAAACATGAGTCGACTCAGTCAGAGGACGACACGTAACACCTTTCGGGTCGTCGACATGTGACGCCTTTCGAGTTGTTCTTGCAAGATGTCGGTCTGTCGAGTCGATCGAATTGAGCCTCTGATTATCTTGAGATGCTGACTTTTTTATGCATAATGTGGGACATTTGTCTGTTATTGATTAGAGATTGTTTTCCATCACTAAAACGGCTATAACAAAAATGTATTATTAATCCCCACCACAATTGGAGATTATTAGTGGTATAGTTGTACTACAGCAATCCAGATGAAAATTTTTGAGGAAGCATAGCCGAAGTGGATCTAAGAAGAGAATTGTTAAGACTCTAAGTTCACACAATGAAAATGATTCGTAATTTATCAGAGAGAATATTGGGATACAAATATCATCCCTTAGTTTTCTTTAAAAATTTGAGTATTGCTGTAATATTTCGTGATAATTCACTATATATGTGTGAAGTACAAAATGATCTTTATTATCTAAATCTATGTTCGATGATGATACATCTTGAAGGTCTAACAATTTTCCCTCAGTTAAATTATTCATTTACCATTAACAGGCTTTGCGTTTGAAAGTGTTAGCTGGTGTTTTTGCGTAATAAATTTACAGTTTTATTATGCAATAATTCCATTGCGTTTTGAAAGTATTATTGTTGTTTCATTAATTGATTGAAAAATACTAGAAATGAGTCTATTCAATCCATTTATTAACATGCAATAATTCTATTGTATGATAACTCAAATGCCAAACTTATGAGATTTGGATGACTATGCATTTGGTGTTGGGACTCTTTATCTAAAACTAGTTACGATATTAGGAGAGACGTGCTAGGATTTGGATTAATCCCACATCGGCTGCGTTAGAATCTGGAAGCTTGCGTACGGGAATAATCTACACCTATGGCCTCCTTTATAAGAAAAATGATACAGACACACCCTCAGTCACATCACCAACCACACCTCTCTATTTACAGTGCAGGGGGCCCCACATCAGATTTTTTTAAAAAATCTGATGTGATGCCCCCTGCACTGTAGATAGAGAGGGGATGTGGTTGATAGTGTGCCTGAGGGCCCCTTTATAAAGCATACGCTTCTCGGCCTTCGAGCTAAGATTTAGTGTGGTATCTGTTCTTTCTTATCAGTTTAATATCTGATACATTATGGTATTGAATTAATTTTTTATTTTTTAACTGGTGAAGGCCCATTACAGTATTGCTACTTGGGCCCCTAAGTGAAGCCCATGCATTGCACTATTTCTTGGGCCTGGAGCACTCCAACCCAATAAAAGTGTTAAATGTTATATTATATTATATATATTGTTTGAATATTTTGGATAGTTGGATTTTTTTAAATATACAAAAATATTGCATTTTACTCAAGTGAACGTGGTTTCCTGTTGTAGACTCGCATTCCAAGCGAATAACGGATCTTGTTGTAGGCTTAATGAGGGAGGCAAAGACTTGATAGATTTTGAGCTATATATATATGTATATAGATGCACTCCAAACTACACACAATCTTCATATCCATTTATATAGTAACTCAACTCTCTATATATGTCACATACATACACTCCAAACTACACACTAGACACTTCGATCACAAATAACAGCACGCGCGTACATTAATAATAAACACTTTGTATCGATTTCATTTTCTGATATTTCTTAAAGATAAACTTATGATTGTCTTGTTTTTACACAAATAATTAATGTCTCTCTCTAGCATGACAATTAATGTACGCAGATATAGATTCTTTGTTTTCTTTTCTTCTTAATTTTTTCCTCAAATAATCAACCTAGCTCGTCTATGTTTACCTACTTTTTCAATCCACTTTCACATAACCAAACTACTTTTTTTTTTCCTTATTTAAAAAGAAAAAGAGAAAAGGAAAGAGAAAACACTTCCTACTAAAAAACTTTTTAGAGTCCAGAAGGAGACATCGCCTTCGGCCAATCGTCCTTCTCGTGGCGAATGCTAGAAGGATAACAACAACACGTGTACAACTTTATCCACAGGATTAAGACATGAACAACTTTCTTAGTCTTCTTCAAAGAT